GTACAAAGAACCTGACTGTGTCAACGAACTCAGCGAAGCTTCTTTGTGATGAAAGAAAAGCATCATGAAATCCAGTCAATAATCAATATAAATAATTGCACGGACAGATCTTCAGTTTCATTTGGACCTCATTCTGATCTGACAGAACTCTGAAGTGAAGCGGGACGGAGCACAGGCGCAAAATCTGCTGAGTTGAAGTCACTGCAGGTAAACCCTGCAGGCAGGTATTGATTCCTGTTCACTGTAAGAAGCCAAGGTAATTATTAGAGCAATCGGTCATTTGAAGAAGGTTCTTTAAAAGCTTTGGATCATGTCCAACATGTGGCTCATAAGAAACCAGGGTTCTGTTAACTCACGACTGCAGAAAATCTGCACAATAACTTAAATAAAACAGTTGTCATGATATCTCACAGTACTATTTTATTTATTTATTTTTATTTTAGAAATTTACTCATTTCATTTAAAACTATTATATGCACCACAGAAAACAAAAACACACAATCAAAAATAAAAAAAATGTAATAAAATGAAAGGCAGCAGAAGAAGAATACATCTTATATCTGCCCCTTTTTATCCCCAGAATATGTTCAAATAAAAGTAAATTTAAAAAATAATTAAAATTTGTAAGTAATGGCAACTTTTAAAAAGGTAAATAAAAAATAAAAGCCTAATGCCCTCACCTTTCCTGGTTTGTCCTCCTTCACAGTAAACTGTTTGATGTGAATCTGAGGGGTCTTGTTCTGAAACTGAGCCGCTCTCATTCTGGATGAGTTTTGTTGCATCATCACCTGAAAAAATTCACAGGAAAAAAGAAGATGTTGTTAAGAGAAAACTGTTAACTTTCCATTCAGTACATCTTCACTGACATACATCAGAGGTTTATAGTAACTAAGTACATTTACTTTGTTACAGTACATAAGTAATCTTTTTGAGGGTTTGAAATTTTACCAAATATTTTTGAATCGTGGACTTTTACTTTTATTTTGTTACTTTTAAGGCCTAAAAATGATGCTTTTACTTCTTTACTTTAAAAGTTAAACACCTTGTTACTCGTTATAAATTAAATCTGTCTGAACTCCTCATGAAAGCAGTTTATGTGCTCTAAATTTATTAATTGTTGAATTTACTCAACTAAATCATATCATCTATTTCCATTAAACCTCATAGAGTAAATTTGAGGCAAAATACATATTTCATTTTAAAGAAATTGACCAATTTACTCAGCTTGGTTTTGTGGAGCCAGTTTGGTTCTGTGAATTTAACAGTTTATTTGTTAGAGAGCGTGGAAAAGTACTTCTGCTTTCCCTGTTTTTGTGAACAGTTTTATGACTTTTACTTAAATACTACTCTCATCAATGCCATTTATTTTTACCAAAGTCATTTTCTGTGAAGGTATTTTTACTTTTACTTATTTTTTCAAGTACTTTATAGACCTCTGAACATTATTACTACATAGCATCAACAAAGATACCCTCCTCAGTTTGTCCAGGATGGTTAATACTCCATTTCTCAGCTGAATAAGGCGGGCGACATGCATTCATTCAAGCAGTTTAAATAAATAATACGTTTATATTAAAGTTAGTCAACACAGGATCTTGTTAGTCATCAGAAATAACAGCCTTGAACCCAAGAGCCACATAAGTCGTAACCGTAATATATAGGCAAACTGTAGCTAGCATTATGCTAATTGTTGGCTAACTGTTAATAAATTTTGTTTAATTTCGATTAGCTAATTTATGTATTTTTTATTATTATTATTTCAGAAGTATTTAATGCTGACTGAACAAGTCATTAAAGTTGTGTTGGGTTGTATTTTAATACAATTTCAACAAAAAAAGATAAAATAATTAGATAAATTAGCTTAAAATAGCTAGCTTAGAGACCCGTTAATTAGTAACCTCCCCGTTTGAAACGGCAAAAAAAAAAAAAAAAAAAAAGTTAAGAAGTAGGTTTCTTCTTAAAAAGTAATACTTCAGCTAGTGTTGTGAGTTAAAGAAATCAAATCTTAAAAGAAAGTCTTACCAGCGACTTCACATTGTTTTTCACAACACAAGCTGCATCCGATCAGGCGAACTTCGTTGTAGTTTGTTGCCGCGGCAACGACTCAGACTTCTCAGTAAGCTGCGTTTTGATTGGCTGGGAGCTGCTGCAGCCGCAGGCGTTGTTTCCGGAAGGTATATTTTGGACACAATAACGTGTTATGAAAATGGTCATATTACAGGAAGAAATCACACGACTTTGAAAAACAGCTAATCTTTTATTCAGTTTTGAATTCAGAGCATAAGTTTGACTCACATAACTCTGTGGAACAAACTTCAGAAAGAGAACAATTAAAGGTTTTATAGCCTGAGGCTGATTAGAAAAGTGGCTACAGCTGTGTGACAGGTGTACCAGGAAGCACCTACAAACTTTACCCTGCTAAAGACCACCTAAAGAAGTTCAACTCTAACATTGCTGTAAACTGTACCTTTTGTGATGTTTGCTCAGAAACTGTTACTCGTTTGTTTTGGTTGTGTTCTTATTCTAAAGTTTTTTGGCAACATTTTTTTAACTACATTGACTCAAAAACATCAACAGGATTTCAGTTATACTGGAAACACATCCTGTTTGGACTTCAACAGACTGGAAAAATGAATCCAAATGTATTCCTTATCAATTTATTAATCAGCATGGCTAATTTTCACTTACACAAATGCAAATTTTTGAAGAGAAAACCATTTTTTTTTTTTGTTTTTTGATTGAGCTTAAACAGTTTATGATTACAATTAGGCCTTCTACAAATCAAAAAGCCATAACAACAATATGGGCTTGTTCCCAACTTGGAATTTTGGATGATTTTAACTTGAGGCTTTCTGGCACCTAGTTTCTATAATTAGTTTTATTAATTTATGTATTTTTTGGAAGAATATTGTATGTTTTTTTTTCTCTTTTCATCATATTCTAAAGTTATGCTCCCCCTGGCATTTTATTGTTTTTTTGTGTCATGTACACGATTATGTTCTGTTATGTAATAATTCAAATAAAGATTTAAAAAGGTGTACCAGGAAGCAGGTATAGATGAACGTGGTTTGACCGAGGTACTGAGACAAACTATTAAAAAACCCAGTGTTGTATAAAGTACCACAAAGTGATACTTGAATAAAAGTAAAAGTATCTTAACATAAAATTACTTTAGTAAAAGTTAAAGTTTCCTCTAAGCATATTACT